TCCCTATTGCAGCCTGGGACAGATGCAGTGTCCCAGAGCCAGAAACGTGGGATTTATTACTTATGAAAGAAAAAGACTCACTAAAGCATAAGACTAGGTACTGAGGAACTGGGACTCTTTCTGTCCCTCTCCTTAACACACTTTGAAAGTCACTGCTACTAAACTTTTTAAAGGAATCATTGCTCTTTGGTGCCTTCCAAGTTTAACTTTCCAGTTTAAGATAGCCAAGATGTGACTTTCAGAAGGGCTGTGCACTAACTAAAAATCTCATTTTTCCCTCTAGTCCCACCTTGGAATTACTCCTCATTAGTCTTGGATGGATTTTCACCAGCATCCTCTGTGCCACAACCCTGTTTACTGCTCCTACCCAACACTTTCTTATATTGGCAATAGGACCTGAAATCTCAGCAGAGCCTGCTCTCCTCTGATCCAAATTGCCAGCAGGTCTCAAAAGTTTTTTCTAGCATCTTCCTGTTTCAGAATATGTCCTAATGCTGCTGGCAACAGAACAAGTGAGACTTGGAACTTCCCTTGAGTGCTAATCACAACTTACAGTTGCCTCATTGCAACTTCTCTCACTTCTCTTACATCCCATTTTAATTCCGCTGGGTAAAACCTTAGCATGCCTTTCTGTTTCCTTCTGCGGAGGCACACATGCACACTTATGCAAAGCCTTATGTCAAAAGAGACCACAAAGTCAGTGCTCGGGTAGGCTATGTGGGAATTAGCATTGCTTCTGCAGCTGTAATTTGCCCCCTTTGGTGTGTATATATTGTGATTCAATTTTTAATTATGTGATTCCATGTTATCTTTCTGTAAGACTTCTTCCATCCATCAGCAGTGTATGCTGTACCCCACGGATGAAGCAAGGTGAGGTATTGAAAGAAGCTGTTGTAGAAATTGGAAAGTGCATAGAGAACGAAGAGACCATTGGAAGAAGAAGAATGTTCTACAAGTTAAAGTTGAATGCTACACGGGAGAATTAAATTCCATCCTTTTCATTGCCAAATAATTTCTCTGTGATTCTAGAAAAGCCCTGTACAGCTGCAAACTGAAGTCAGTGGTCTAGCTTTTAATGGTAATGTGGGCGATAAAATTAAGTGCTTTATAAAAAGTCTAATCCCAGACATCTCAACTTGGACACCAAAACAACCTTACCTTAACCTTAGTCTTTCCGTGTCTCATGTTTTCATTTAGAAAATGCAGAGAATAGCTGTCCCTTATGTCAGCCAGCAATGTGAAAATAAGGTGTTTTTATAAAATCTTTTACTGTAGTGGTGATGTCATAAAAAGACTGAAGAAATTTTGGTAGTTTTCTGCTCTGAGGAGTGCTCGAATAGCATGAAGTGATAGGATGCAAATCTGCTATTAGAGTAATGAGGGTATAACAAAATACTAAAGTCACGTGCTTAATGAGTACCCTCACCCTCTGTGAAACAATAGTATGTGTTCGCATCATTAGACTGTACAACACTGCATGGACAGAAGGAAAATTGCAATTGTATGAAAATCCTGCATTCTGCTCTTCCAAAATAACTGCTTGATTTAAAGTATAAAAGTGGTCTTTCTCTGTGGTGAGGGAGGTAGAGGAAAATGGAGGGTTATACTCGAGTCATTGACTTAGTTTTTAACAAAACAGTCTGGAAAAAAAAAGGAATCAAAATTTCACCATGTGGTATCACAAGGCTCATGAGCAGAGTTGCTATAATTAGATCCACAGCACAGTCCGCTGCCACTCGTGCTAATGAAGTGTTTGATAACAGTAGTAGTAGGCTGTCAGCTTTTACAGTAACTGACCCTACAGAGGAAGCAGGGTGAGCACTGTACTTCTTACATTTTAGTCAGGCTTAACTCCAGCCTGTTGCGAGGGTTTGATGAGAGCAGAGCAGGGACTCTTTTCTGGTATCTGGCTCTACGCTAACCAGGAGCTGTAATTTCAGGTAATACCCTATTTAATCTCTGCAGTCCAGCAAGGTGATATGCTTGCTCTGGAAGGCTGGCTCCTGCACAGTCCAGTCATGCATTGGGGCTGGCTCACAGGCTCACCAAAAATAGCTTGCACTGATCTTAGAGAGCTGTTCAATCTCTATAGAGTCTATTCAACAGAAGATTCCCAGATTCACATGGATTTTTATGAAACAGGAAAAGTCACCTAAGAGGCAGGCCTTGCCTTATTTCAAGCTAGTGCTCCAAGTCAGATGCACAGGAGAAATAATTGTATTTGTGCTTAATGTAACACACAGTTCTTCCTAATCTTGATGAGAAATAGCTGAAATACTTCAGGTTAGTTTTCAGGCAAAATCCAGCTTGAGACAAAGATTTGGCTTTGAAAACTTCAACCTAGATAGCCAAGATATAACAAATCTGAAAAGCAGAAGACAGAAAGGTATATTGAGTGTACTTACAAGTGATGGGTGCCGCCTGCAATAAGTTACTGCTATCAGAAGGCTAAATTTTGCTGCTGAAATTATAGGGAACAACCCTTGTTTTCTAAGCTTCTGGCTCAGAAGGAAGACTCCACTTCTGCTGCAGCCCTTTGTAGAATTACTTCTGATTTTTTAGGCACTTTTCCTAGTTTAGAAAAGGGCTGGTGTGTTGTACTGAGGACCGAGATGCCTGACAAGACTGACATTTCTGTAAGCATTTATTGTAGCACTAGTTCTCTTTTAAAAGATGCTCAGCTGTCCTTGTATTGCTTCCCTCCTCCTAGCTGTAATCACTCTAAGCTTCTCTCTTAAATGGTCAAGTGGGTGGTGTTCATGGGCTGGATGGAGAAATGCATCCATTTAAAACTTAACTGCACTCTTGTGAGGGTGTTAACAAGTATCTAGCTGCTAAGATACCCTGATACCCTGCAGTTGCCATTGAAGATTGAAGATTGGCATTAGGTAAAGGAATTGTGAAAGCTTTGTAAAGGGTGGAGATTTTGTGGTTAGAAAATTGAAATTTGTCACTTGCTGCATGTTCATTTTATAGCCATGCTTTCCCACTTCCAATTCCTGGGTGGGACCTCTAGGGCTGCCTGTGACCCATCTTTTCTTACGTCTTGCTGGGGGCTCTAGTGTTTTTAGTGCCTCAAAAGCTTCTGTTGTAGATGACTTTCAGCTCTGATGCCCCGAATGCTGATTCCAGAAGTTCCATCTGATGCAATGAGAAAGTAAGCAGTGACCTGTCCCAGCCCAGCCTGCTAGGGAAGCAAGGCTAAATAAAACAAGATGAGTGTGAGCCTGGTGGGAGGAACAAGTCAGAGAAAGCAAACAGTTTGCTGCCTTTAGCTTGCTGGTAGCTTTCATCAGAGCTGGCTGAGGAGGGGGAGGAGGAGAACTGCCTGTGTGAAGGGAAGGAAGTGACAGCGTAGTCATTAGCAGACTGCGACCCTCTGTCACAGGGGCTCCTGAAATAAACGATGATTGTATTGAAGCATGAGGCTGGATAGAGACCTCTGTGCTAATTTAATAAATTGCTTGCATTTAGGACCCCAGATTGTTGCTGTTACATTTTTGCTATGTGATGCCACCTGGGATTAGCAAGGAGGAGGGGAGGGGGGGAGAGGAAGAAAGCAGCCCAGGTCCGTTAGCAACCGCTGGTGTGACCTCACTCCTTGTCCCAGGGGGGATATGAGATCATGAGAATGCCAGAGCTCTCTGAAGGATTCGATTTGTTCAGTACAGCAGGATGGCCTGCCGAGTGATCTCATCTGAGACCCTAGGGAAGGGCGCTAGCTGCTGCTAGCCTCGTTGACTGCGGAGGACTTAATCCCCACTCCAAATCTCACCAATTAACGATTGACCTGTGATGACATCACTGATGACAAAGCTAACTGGGACAACACAGCAAAATTCCAGGGGAATTTCCCCCTTCTCCATAATCTTATCAAATAAAAGAATTTTGACATGTCAAAAACAAAGCTTTCAGTCCAGATGTCATTGCAGATTAAGCATAGTTCTGGCTCACAGCTTGCCCTGACCTAGTGCCCTGTCACCAGTTCTCCCTTTTAAACAGTGTGGGACAGGACATAAACAGGTCCTCATTAAGATGGGGGGACCCTAAATTAGATAGCCTTATTTAGCCAGCTTCTTAGCCCTAGTCTTAGGTGCTTTAAAACAGAAATCACGTGGCAAGAAAAATCCATTTCAGTTGTTGCACCTCATAGTTGTAGTAATCCAGGAGGGCATTTATGTTACCTTGCAGGTGTCCTTCAAGGAAGGAAAGCTTTCTAATTGGAGTAAACACCAGAAAGGCAAGGACAGCTTTGGTGAAGGTTTACAAAGAATGCTGCCCATTCTTTGAGTCTCTTTTGAGAGAGAAGTGTTTCAACCAGCATGCTTCCCCCCTCCTCCCCCTTTCTTTCTTAAGGTCCTCAGGAAGATTAGGTATCTGAGTTTAAAATGCCTTGAGGGTTTTTTTTCAGAGCTAGTCTTTTTATCTGTGTACTGTACAGGATCCAACACACACCTGAGTGGAAGGATGCTAGCAAATAGGTAATTAATTTGATTTCTTGGGATCATCTAGAAAGTTGTCAGGAGGACTAATGTCACCTTATATTTAAATCTCTGTACCTTCAGAAGGGGGTATAGGATCAAAGCAGCTTACCTTGTATTCCTTTTCTCATTATTAATAGTATCTACAATTTACATCATATTCATCTCTGTAAGTCTGAACCTCTGCTGTTGGCGCTCTGTAGCATTGCACAGATATGCAATAAGGTGTATATCCATAACCTGCTCTAAGAGTTTAAGATTCAAAAGTGTAGAATAGCTGGATAAATGACAGAGCAAGAGGAACACTAAGAAACAATGAAGTGATAGTTATCCTTTCTAGGCGCCAAGTTAAATGGCTGCAAGAAAGCAGCATCTCATGAATACCGGTCTTCGCACCATTTAACAGAGTGTGTAGGTGGACAGTGAACACAATTCCTATAAGGTTCAAGCCCTGCACCTGTTAAGTGCTCTTCTTTTGACTTCCTGATAGTAATCACGTATCGCTTGTTTGTTTTACAGGGAAAGTTTTACCTGGTTATTGAGGAGCTGAGCCAGCTGTTTCGCTCCCTTGTCCCCATCCAGCTATGGTATAAATACATCATGGGAGATGATCCGTCCAGCAGCTACTTCCTAGGTGGGATCCTGATCATCCTGTATAGCCTCTGCAAGGCAAGTACCACCTCATTAATAACCTCTATGAGAACTGTAGCAAGAGCAGAGAAAGAAACACAGCTGAGAGGAAAAAAATAACCTTTTGATTGTTGCTGTTGCTACCCAGGAAGGGAAGCTGCAGCAGCTGGGGACACCATGTGTTTTAGTTGCCAAAAGCATTTTGCTTCACCAGTGTGTGGGCATTAGAAGATCTGTGACTGCTTATGTAGTGTTGCATCAGGCTGATGAAGTCATTGCTGCTTTCTAATACCTCTCTATAAAGGCTAGGGGAGAATGGGAGTGGAGTCTTGGGGAACCAGTACTGGGAGAGAGGTTAGTGTCTCCAGGCTTCTAAATGCAACACTGAAAGGAAGGTTGCAGACAGTTAAATGTTTCTTAAGAGCACAAAGTCTGCCTGCACAATTGGAAATGGTGTGACTTATTTAGAAAAGTCCCAAGTCTGAAGTCTAGAAAGAGTTGTATTTCTAATTGTGTGTATTGAACCCTGCCTAGGGGCAGAGCAGTAGCTGAAGCAAACAATGATACACCTGTGTTATCCATCCCTCTGAGAAAGGCCAAGGGAGTCAAGCTTGCTGCAGCCCTGATGCTTGTCTCTGCCTAGGAGAAAGGGGCTAATGGCTTTGCAGAAGCAGACTGAAAAACAGGAGAGAATATATCTAAGCTGAAAACAGCTCAAAGGGATTAATGGATTGGTGAGCAATACAACGTCATACTATAGGTCTTATGCAAGATGTGGCTGCAGTTGCAGCTGTATGTTGTATAGGAATGGGGCAATGCAACCCTTGCTGTCAAGGAATTTACAATTTTTGTAGGCAAGATAGGCAGAGGAGGTCATGGGAAGTGAAATGACTTGGTCACAGCAGGTCTGTGATCAAGCCAGAAACAGAGCAAACAGTGCCAGAATAGAAAGCACACGAGACCAGTGTAGTTCCCTGCACACCCACCCATTCTCTCAGCTATGTGTTTCCTGCTCTTTACCCTGTGCTGTGGGAGAGGATTGTTGTCCCTTTCAAAGATGTCATTGTCTGGATCCCCTCTAGACAACAGTATCCAACCCTTCCTCACCCTTCTGCCTTGTCAGGTATACAGATCACAGGTCAGGTCAGGTATACAGATCACAATTACAAGGACAGATTTCAGGTGATCTTTCTGGTGTCCCTCCTTGCAAAAGTTACTCAACAGGGGATGCTTACCTGCAGTTCTACATGCCATTTCTTATATCTGGAGAAGTCATCATAGTGTGAAGCAGCAGTGGGGGCCATCTGCTCCTTGAAGAAAGGGGAGCCAAGCACAGAAACACAGCTGGCAGGGCAAGGGCCTCACCAGCCAGGGCCCAGCCCCACAGCACCCAAACAAGACAAGCAGAGCAGGCCTGGAGGTGACAGCCAGGTTCAAAGAGTCCAGATCTTCAGGGGGTGAGGCAGGTGCAAGATAAAGCCAGAATATCAATCCACAGGTCAGGATCAGGTCTGGTGAAGGCAGCCAGGGTCAGACACAGTCCAACAATTGCAGCACATAGCCATAGTGATGAGGCAGGCTCAAGGTGGGGGTGGGAGGTTGCTCCATGTGCTGGGGTGTCCAGATCAGTGGGACCTGTAGCTAGGCTGTGGTGGGTTGACCCTGGCTGGATACCAGGTACCCACCAAAGCCACTCTATCACTCCTCCTCCTCAGCTGGACAGGGGAGAGGAAATATAATGAAAGGCTTGTGGGCCAAGATAAGGACAGTTTAATGAAAGCAGAAGCAAAGGCCACGTGTGAAAAAGCAAAAGGAAAACAAAAATATTTTATTCTCTACTTCCCATCAGCAGTGATGTCCAGCCACTCCTCTGGGAAGTAGGGCCGC